AGAGTTATTAAGTGTGCAAGTTGAAACTTGGACATTGCTTCCTTAGAATGATGAAGCATTAATTTTTTTCAATGTATAATTTTCAGTATTTATTTGTTTTGGCTTCCTCATAGAGGAAGCTTTGTGTGCGAAGGTTTCTACTTAAACACTTAAAAACTCTAATCAAGCAATGTGCAGGTTTCTACTCGCACACCTAACTCTTTAGGAGCCTGTATACATAATTATGTACATTCACTAAAATAAAAAAATAAAAATATACTCAACAAAATTTCAAACGTCCATAACTCGAAAACTAATAAACCAAATTTTAATTAATTATATATGAAATAGGGGTAGAAAAAACTGGAAAATATGATAGAATTAGATATAGATCGCTATCTCAAATATTGAGAAAACTGTAGCGTAAAAATTATGTACGGATTCTCCGAAATTTCAAACGTCCGTAACTCGAGAACTAATAAACCAAATTTTAATTAATTATATATGAAATAGGGGTAGAAAAAACTGAAAAATATAATAGAATTAAAAATAAATCGCTATCTCAAATAATGAAAAAGCTGCAGCGTAAAACACATTTTTTTTATAAATAAAAATCTGCATAAAATCTATACCGGTCGACCGATTTCAATAAAATTTGAGGAGGACATACTTTCTATGATACTCTATTTGTGTGTAAAATTTCAACCCGGTATCTAAAAAATTGTAGAAGTAGATGCGTGTACAAAAAATCCGTACACACACACATACACACACACACACACACACACACACACACATACATACATACTTCCGGACATTTTTTACTAATACGATTTTTCGACATTTTAGAACATTCTAAACCTATTTCCATCAAAATCTCGAAAAAAAATTTTTTTACCATCACAAAGCTTCCTCTATGAGGAAGCAAAATTTATATTATTATACAATTATCGCAATAGATCCTAAATAAATAATCTTTTTTGTAACAAAGGTATGTAGATTAATATTCCAGATGAGTGACATTTAGTAAACAGGGCAGTTCGGTTTGCTTGGTAGGTACATAGTGTGTTCTAGATTCAATTAAGTTGTGATTAATTCACCAACAAAAGCGATGCGGGCTGTACTCCACTTTAATCCTTTCATACTTCGATCTTTATAACTAGTTTTGTTATTGTTACGAGCAACGGTAGCATATCAAGAGAGTTGTTTCTTCTCTTATCTCGTTATTTTGAGTGTTATATAATTTAGTATCGATTTAAACAGATTAAGGATGAACACTTCCGTGTAATAATTTCGTCGAATATAGAACATAATATTAATTAATTTGTTATTATTATTATCGTTATACTATTCACACGGACACTATACGGACACTATTTTTTTATTTATTAAAATCAATCAAGATAATTGTGTTATAAATTAAAAAGTTTTTAAAAGTACTATTTTTATAGGCACGATTAATACAAGATAAAAGAGATTTAGATTATTTTATTAATAATACTGAAGTAATGAGGAAATTACGGAGTTGTGAAATCATATTCATTTATTACACATGAAAATTTTCACTATTTTAATTCTTGAACGATTTCAGTGTACTTACCGTTTTTTTTTAAATTAAAAATAGTAAGCCTGCTATTATGTTTGTCCAGATTAATTTGCAGGTGATTAGGATTTTCAGGTGTTGCATTTAATCGCTCTTGCTGTGTCGAACATTCGATACTAATTAATTAGCCACTGTCAGGTACCATTAGTGCGTTCGTCATTTACAAACCTATCTCCCCCTATTGCTCATTTTAACGTTTGCAATTAGTTTCATGAGTGGACGAATTTTTAATCGAATGAGCAGATTAATTCTAATCGATATCCGGAGATAGTTATTTTATTTACTTCATACATGAGACGATATTAAAGAAAGATTCTTTATACGCGATATCTTTCTAAAAAATTTCATTTGTTTTATAAAACTCGATTTTTGGGAATAATTCACGCTGTGAATTACATTACTTTTTAGTAAAAGTAAAGAATAAGACATTAGAAATGGTGTATGGTGTGCACGCGATTCTGTATAAAGATAAATCGACTTGAATAAACTTGCCAATGCGTCTTAATACACGAGCAAAATGCTGACGCATCAGTAGTCACAGCCACAGGTGCCTAAATGACGTGTAAAAGCTTCCTCTTTTACTGCATTCTTTTCTTTCTATTCTTTCTTCTCTCTCTCTTTCTCTCTCTCTCTCTCTCTCTCTCTCTCTCTCTCTTTTTTCTTCCTCTCTCTCCTCTTTCTATTCTCTTCATCTGCTCTTCGTCTCTCTGCTTCCTACACAGATATTAAAATCAATACGGTATGCGTTTGACTGGTACACCGTATGCACCGCCATTACCGCATGCATCGGCCGCGTATGTACGATCCACCCCCACCTACATTTGCCCCCACAATCATCCCACACCATACCCATCCTCCCTGTAATCCTCCTCCTCTTCCTCCCCTTGCGGATGCACGCGAGAACTGCAGCTGCAGCTGTAGCGTCTTGCAGCCGACATGGTTGAGAGGATGAGTTGAGGTGCGAACTGTTAAGGGAGAGATGAAGGGCTTGAGGAATTTGACGTTGAGTCAAGGGTGGCTTTGGAAAATGACGAAGGGTTTGACATAATAAATGATCCAATCGATGTACCGTCGAGTGCTTCTATATTTCGAGTACTAAATTTTTGGATTTTTAGCTTTTAGAATGCTTAAGTTCATTTAGTTTGTCTTTACAAACTGTTTAAGTATTTTGAATAAATTGAATCTTTTTGATTTTGAGATTTATATAGATGTAACCATTAGAGACGTAAACATTAAAAAATTCATACAGACTTCGTCTTCTCGTAAGATAAGCTTGATCAAATTTGTAAACATAGATAAAATTTATTGACATTATTATTAAATGTATTATATAAATATTGTCATCATATTTGATATATATTTGGCTTACTCCTAAAATTAAATTTTATTTTTCACGGAATTAGATTATTACGTTTTTAGAATGTAAAAGTTTTAAATTCTTGGATAGTAAAATTTTTACGATCTACTACATTATATTTTTAGTACATAGTTTTGCTTGTTAAATTATTGTAATGTATCATAAATTGCATTATTAAATCTCTGAGACTTTAGATGCTTGAATAACTCGAGTCCTCTCCCTGAGTCATAGAGTTCTTAGATACTACATAAGTCTAGGTGTATTAAGGAGGGTACAAAGATGGAACATAATTTCATACCAAGTTAATCAGACGCTCAAGGAGCCTCCGGGGAAGATACGCAACGTCAAGGAGGACTGACGAGGAGGAAGGGATGAAATCATAACCCACGACATCAAATACTGACCAAGGCGTGCCAATGTCGTGTAACAGCTGCTGCTAATCGCCTGTTTAAACTAAGCTAATTAGGAGGTTAATTATTCAATTGTGACAATTATATTTCGATAATATTATACATTCTATAAGCATATGTTTTACACTTTAGCATGCTATAAAGAGAAGAATTTGAATGTTTAAAGTATAAAGCTTAAAGTGCTTGTATGCTTAAAGAGAAGAAACTGAAAACTGGGGCAAGGTGTATTTTAAACATTTTATATTATATTATTTTTTTAAAACATGCGAACTCTCGCCATAAATTGATTAGATTTTAAGCGACTACGTCATTGATTAATTACAGTTCTCTTCACAGACCAGATAAAGCTTATTAAAAAGACAGGAATTTTATCTATCTATATCATAATTAATTGTATGAAAATTTTATTTAATTTAAGTTATATATATCACATCCATTATTTTTTTATATTGCAACTGTCATTCACATTCTAACGTTTTTATTTTTATTATTGAAAATAAAAAATTTATGAAATACTTTTTACATTAAAAATTTCAAAGTAACTTTTCTGAAGATTATAAATATAGATAAAATATAAATAAAATTGTAGAATCTTTCAAACAACAAAAAAGATGATCTGATTAATGATCTGGACAGTATAGCGAGAAAAGTTTAGGCTATCACATAAATCCATGATGTTACGCGAATGTAGCTCGCTTGCGTTGTGCATTTCGCTGACACCTCGTAAAACTGTAAACACGTTGCCGGCATTGGTTTTATCGCGCATTCGGACGGGATTCACGAGCCGCCATTTAGCCGGAATATTATTTCGTCAGGCCGCCAGCCGGGGCGAGCGGGCGAGTTTAAATTACTCGCGCGATCGTATGGCGCAATTAACGGAGAGGATTTATGTCGAAGTGAGCACTTCAAGGTAAAACGTTTCACGGTTGTTAACACAAAGAATTTGGCGAAGATTAAACGACGTAACATATAAATGAGGGAAAGGAGAGGTAACTTTTTTATAGACGAGTATATATTGATTTTAATTACATGCGTTCTTTAAAATAACAGAGCATACACAAAAAAATTAGTCAAATAATTCTTAACGGTAAAAAGAAGCATAAAAGCTTTGAAAGCAATAATTCTAAAAATATACTTCGATATATCTTTTAAATTGTTATTGAAAGAGATTTAATACTATTATGAGGATAAGACATGGAATTATTTAACATTTTACATACATGTAAAATGGTAAGATGTAATATAACGTGCAATAATGTAAGAATTACGATTTTTCCATACACTAATTTCTGTTTTAAGGAACACAAAAATATCTGAATTGTATTATATTTGTTATATCAGTATTTGATTACATCGATCTTTATTTTTCGTTTACAGCACCGAGCTAAGGATCGATCTCGGGACTGAGGGCGTGGATCGTGCATGTCCGAAGTCGGCGATTCGCAAGTAAGTCAATTCAACGCAAATCGCAACGTATACTTCTGTCTGTTTTCAACCGGGCAATAATTGCGCGTACAACTGCAACTCGCAATTAATCACGGCACGATCGCATAATCTAATACAGAAATTGCACGTGCAACGTATCGCGGTAATATACCGGCAATTGATTGCACGAAATAGAACACGCTCTAATTCGCGCGATTGTACATGCTAAGTTTGATGTAAATTTAAACTCGTCAATGCGCAACCAATTATGATCCTTTTGAACGTTCATAACCCTTCGACTTATAATAAAATATTGCCGTACATCATCAATATATTTGAAGTATAACAAAAGAAAAGTTTTGTATGTAAGTTCTAGTAAGTAAATTTATAATTGCTGCAGATAACGGAATTTTTGCGATAAGTTGGTATCAGTTTAAACAACATTTAAACTTTTATAGTCTTAAACTTTAAACTTTAGTCCGATTAACATTTACTTCGGTAGAAAGTCGATCATTCGATTCAGTCGCGATGACATGAAAATATCTTACTCTCCCTTTTCTTCGCGATTTTTCTTTTGCGTAATGAAACGTCAATCGAGAAGGAAGCGTTGTTATAAAATACAAGAGTGGGCGGACGAGGAAAGAATGGGGCGTATTTTGCGTTGGTACCTTGTTAGCTCGTGATTGCTGGTTCGTCAATTTTAATTACATGCTTTTAACGATGATAGGATCTCAGAAACGTTTTCTTGTGGAAAACTATAGAAATATAGTACTTCGCAAATTATTCAGAATTTGTGATTCCGCTGAATTTACAGAATTCACATCGAACACTTAATTAGTCGCGAGAAAAGATGATAACGGATTAAAATTGGTAATTGAACAAAACAATCGTAAATTATTGACGTTGCAATTATGAACACTTTCGTGATGAGATTGCAACATGATTATTAAATTACTCGGCAATTTATTAAACGTAAATTTATTTAATTATTGAGTTTTCGGAATTTGTTTATCACAAATTATAAAATTCATTAAATATACGGATGAAGGAATATTAAAAAAGCGTTTAAACGTGAAATGTATAAATATGTACGTACAATGTACATATAAATTAATGTTCGAATTGACAAAAAGTTGGTATATATCTATTATTTTTCTAAAAGTTGAATTTGTTTTTTATTGGCGAAAATATATCAAGAAGCATTGTATACCTATATTCTGAGTTATAAGCATCAGTAAAAAGATCTTTTTTTCGCAAATTAATATATTTGAGAGGCTAAAATAAATAATGAAACGTTATCTGTTATTAGATTTATGACAACTTTTATTTTATGGAATTTAAATTTTAAGCTTTAATTGTGCTAAGACATTGCTACAAATTCGAGCATTCGAGATTGTGAAAAATGATTGTTGTTCTTGAAATTTCTACCAAGGGAAAATCTATTTCAAATCTCGCAAGGAACGGTGTTATATATCTCCGTTCGATCGAATTCTGAGACATTCCGTATCAACTACTTTCAGCTTTTTGACAACATTTCGATGCTCATCAATCTCTCGGCGAATAAATGATTTTGACACAACCATTTTAAATTGTACGTGAGGCTTGATATTGCGCGCACTTCCGGGGCTATTCCCTCTTCTCTTACCCTTTCCTGTCCACTCAGTGTATAGCGATTTGTCGCAGCCAAATGCAATTGTCCCCCCTTTTCTTCGATAATTGCAAAATCGGCCGAAACTCCCTAAAGCGGAATGATGAAGGTTATATGAGGGAAAAATTGGACCTTTTATCGGTTATTTCACTGTAATTTCCCGGAATTCAATTTCCGAAAATATCTGAAATCTTTTAAAAAATCACATTTCCAGATTAAAAATTGTTTTCAAATGTGATACATCTATAATTTTGTATTGCCTGATTTAATCACATGTTAACTTAATTTATAAGAAAATGACGATACAGTTTATATTGTGTTCTTTTTATATTTTGCAACGCGTAGTCAGAAATTCCAAAAGTGGCGGTGATTTTCCAAATTACATACTCACGTTTAATTTTCCGCGTGGCTTGTGTTTAAAAATACGCTGAACAAATTTGCACAACGTACCTGATCTTATTCCGTGGCGAGAAGACAAAAAATTTACTCGCTAATACACTCGTTAACACTCGCCCGATTTATTAGGAGCAAATGATCGACCGATCGCGAGCGCGGCGACCAGAGGCTGCTGGCGCTGCAACGAGCGAGCGAGCGGCGTTTTATCGATCGGCGGGACCAGGAGATTTACGCGTACATGCCAGCCGTGCCTCCAACGAACATATGTCATGTTATTTACGAGCCGGGCATTACTCTCTGCCCGATTTACTATATTTTATGTTACGTGGATGGACTCGCGATTCTTTCAGATCGGGCCGGACGCCGGTCACGTCGCCGAGGTGCGTGCCCGCGCTGCAGCGATCATCACTGGCCGATACTTAGCTTAATTGCGCGTCGTCTTTCACGGATTGTTCCTTAAATAGCAATAAATAGCGGGATAACCGACGAAACTTCCATCTTTTTCATGAAACTTTATTATCCCATTTTGGGGAGTATTGATCGATTTTGCAATTATCGGAGAAATGTGAGATACATGTGAGATATATGCACCTACATTAAAATTCAAGGCAATATTTGAAATAAAATTAGATTTATTTTATACGGCGAATTCGGCACGATTATAAATGTAGAAGATCTCTTACACGTTGCGCTAATTATAAATTTCACTCTTGCAAAATTTTCAGCGTTACGTAACATATAAAATTATGTATATAAGACTGTATCTCACTGGCGTTCTATGTGTGCGTGTGAGAATTAAAGACCATATAAAATGGATTTAATGTTTACGTTTCTAGTTTTCGTATTTGGAAGTCGTTTTCAGGCCGGGTTCTCAGTACGCTTATTATTCGTGGATCGTTAAACGGAAAGTCTAGCAATTGAAGAGCGCGAATTTTAGAGCGCGACATAAGTTTCTTAGACTCGTAATCTAGAGATCTGCAAATGTTGAACTTCTCCCGACGCATTTACACGACTTCTCACGTTTGGAGAGAGAGAGAGAGAGATGTGCCTAGATCTTTTAGTCGCAAAACATCAGATATTATCTAACGTGTTTCCAAATTTCTAAACTTATGCTACAGCTTCTTACTTCTAGGGCTGCATTCCGATATTTACTGTCAGCAACTGTCAGTGCTGAAAATTTATATTAAAAAATATATAAAAAAATACAGTACTGACAGTGAATATTGGAATGTAACCCAGGAAGTTTCACAATTCTTCAATTGTCTTTTTTTGATTTGAGAATTAACTTCCTAATCCTCAATCTTTCAAACGCGCATGTCCCCGATTTCTCGGTTTTCAGGTTACGTTTTTCCGGTCTCTGAGAGTTAAAATCTTAGTTTAAGAGTTATTGGATACGCGTTGAAGCACGAAAAATGGATGCGTTTGGATCACCGATCGTGGCACCTCTTTTGTATGGGGGCCATTAAGGATCGTTCGATCATGATCTCGATACTTTGAAGTCGAAATGGGAATCACGGGGTGCTTAATGGTAGCCATTTGGAGGTCAGCCTCGTAGCGGGAATTTATGTCCTCATATTTCGGCAAAGGTGTCGCGTGGCGCGGCGCCTTTCGGCAACGTCACCGACTGCCTTTCAATCAGCTGACGCGCAATTCGGACGCTTGATCCCTCGCATTTTTACCCGTTTCGAGAGGTATAATGCATCGCTCGATCTCCACCGCAGAGAAAAGCTTCTTGAAGAATCCAAGAGTCCGCCCATTTTTCGAAACTCAAACATAATGCTCCTTTTAAGGTACAAAATGGCTCTTTGCAATTCTTAAGTATTTACGAGAGAAAGTTGCATATATATTCACGTTTTCGTAATTTATTTGTTTAAATTTACAAGTAAGAATACTTTTTATTATTGTTATATAGAATAAATTTTAAAAAATTATGTTAATGTATGATAATGAGAGGAAACTTATTTTCCATTATTCTTACTTGAGCAAAATTTCTCTTTATTTTTATCGTAATTTTAAATACCTTTCAGATATTTATAAATAAAGAAAGATATACATTATTTTTTATAATATATTGACATTTTTCACAAACCTAAGGAAGATTAATTTATCTTTTATTTTAAATTGAAACTTTCAATATTTTATCTTTAAAATTATAATTTAACTTTTATCGCGTCAAATTATACACCATTTCAAAATATTGATATTGAATTTAAAATCTTTTAATTTTTTAAAATTTCGACAACTTTATACAAGAAATAAATGTTCAATAATCTTTTTAGAAGTAATTTTTTTTTTAACAATACTAACGATACAGGAGTTTAAAGTTGATCTTTTCTCATTTTACATTAAGCGAATTCGTCGAAGGTTTACAAATCTCTACTGGAGCTACGAGTTCTTTGGTATTTTAGCCGGATGCATTTTCACAGCGTATAAAGTACCTAACAACTTCTCCCTAACAACAGTTCCCCCTGTCTGCGACAAGAACGGATATACAGCCGTTTGAAGTCACGTTACACTAAATAACGCTCAGATTGCAAACTAAATAAAAGTATTTTTTGAAGCGGCGGATAAATCGAACGGCTCTACTACTTAAAAGCGCGCGAAAGTTTGGCGCTTTGCGAGAACGCGATTAAAAAGCGATTTCCAATGAAAGGCAGGTCGAGGGGATGGGATGGGAACGGCGGACAGGGGGCAGAAGCGTACGACACTATGCGCGGCGGTGTTTTTATTTCACGGGAAATTTAACTTTAGGACTGGCGAGTCGGGGGAGAAATTGCGATGGACAGGGCGAGTTCGGTATTGGATTACGACAGAATGATTGCGCTCTTAATTAAAAGGGGTGGAGGCGGGAAGGGGCCCGACCCTGTTCGTGTTTCCGCTAAAGGGATTAACTTACTAAATCAGAGTTATGGCCTCATTGTCAGTCGCGATCATAAAGCCGATAGATGTTAACAGAAGTTTCCTCGGGTTTGTCTTC